TCTCTCTCTCTCTCTCTCTCTCTCTCTCTCTCTCTCTCTCTCTCTCTCGAACCTTGCCCAATGCCCTCTGAGACCCCAGGAAGGAGGCCATGTCCCTTTGTCACTTACCAAGACCCAAGAGGGTGCAGAGCAGTGCAAAAGCTAGCAGGAAGGTCCTGTGTCTTCTAGACAGCCTCATGGTGTGTGAACCTGCAGTCCCAGGTCCTCTGCCCTTATAGGAAGCTGGGCAAGGGCGGGTCTGGTCCCACCTTCACCCTGGGGTGAGAAATAGCTGAGGTCAGAACCCATGGCAGTCCTCCACAGCCTCCAGGTTGGAGTCATGGAGCCAGCATCCATAAGAAAACTGAACATCTTCGACCCAACCCCTTCCTGCACCGGCATCTAAGGTCTTTAGATTGCCAGTGTCTTCTTCCACCTGGACCCAGAAGCTCACTTACAACTTAAATGTTTTCTTCCTCCCCCTCCTTTTTTTTTTTTTAACCTAAGGTTGGAGTTGGGTCACTTGATTCCCTGAGGGTGCAGGGCAACTTCGGAGACTGGAACCCCCTCTTCTCTTTTCCCAAGGAGGCACCCAGCGTGGGTTGGGTCCTAACCTAGGAGCGCCCAGCATGTCTAGGCCCGTCTTGCGGAGGCCGGACGCCCTGTCAACTTTTCCTTTCCCTTTGGTGAGCCTGCCTCACACTCACTCTTCTGTATTAGAGCTGTGTACAGCTCCAACCCTTCCCAGGGATGTGCCCCTGGGTCTTGAGGGGACCGAACAGAAGAGAGCCTGTCAGCGGCCAGAGATGGGCGAGGATGGAGCCCAATGCTCACAGAGCATTGAGAAAGCGAGGCATTTGTGCGAGCATGCTAGCCTGTGCGCGCGAGCGCGTGTAGATGGTGCATAAGTTGTATTTAAGATCGTTCTCCCTCTTTTGGTGTAAGATCAAGAGCTAACATAGGTCTGAGAGCTCTCTGTCATCTATTCTCTCTCTCTCTCTCTCTCTCTCTCTCTCTCTCTCTCTCTCTCTGTGTGTGTGTGTGTGTGTGTGTGTAGGCGCGCGCGCGTGTGTGTTGGGAACATGTTTTGTGCTTTATTTAAGATCTTTTTTCCTTTCTTTTGGTCTCAGGCCAAGGGCTAAGAAAGGTCTGAGATCTCCGTCTTATCATCTGTCTGTCTGTCTCGGTGCGCGCGCCTGTGTGTGCGCGCGCACGCGTCTGTCTGTCTGTCTGTCTGTCTGTGTTTTGAGCGAGAAGGGGAACACAGCGTGTCCACAACAGGTGGAGGGGATCATATAGCAAGCAGGATGCAGCCTCTGGGAAACTCTCAGCAAGCCCCGGCGTTTCTAAGGCTTCGGTTTGGTTGGTAACCGCATGGTCCAATGCGGAGCAAGTTTCACGTAAGACCCAATCACTGAGGCCGCTCCTGTTGCTAGGCTCCCAGAAAGCCGAGTCCCTACGTCATCGAGAAGCTAGGTCTGAGAGTGGTGGGATCAGAGAGAGGAGGGGCCGGAGGAAAAGCTTGTTGCTACCGGGACCCGGCGCCTCGCTCTGGCGAAATCTATCCGCGCATGCGCAGTGTCGACGCGCGCCGCGGCGCGCCGCGGTTTGAAAGGCCCGAGCCTCGCGCGCTTGCGCACTGAGTCCCGTGCTGGGTGCGCTCGCCCCTCAACCTTCTCCCGGGGCCCCCCTACTGGAAGGAACCCTTCTTCGTTCTGTGATCGGTAGCACGTCCACTGTTGTGGATATGCCGGAGATCAGCCTCCGCCACGTCGTGTCCTGCAGCAGCCAGGACACGGTGAGAGGCTGACGTGGGAGCGGCGGGAAGACAGGGGGCTTTTCTGAGGGAGGCTTGAGGATTTGGCAAGTGCGGAGGGGAACTTGGTGGCATTCCGAGGGGGCTGCGGGGTGGAGGCTGGACGTGCATCCGGTGGAGATGGGCAGGCAGGGGCAAGTTTGGGGGCACTGTGGAAGTCCCGGAGAAGTAAGGAAAAACGGGGTTCTGGGCAACTTCTAGCGGGGGAAACTGAGGAAAACTCGGGCAAGATGTGTCAGTGGTGGTGGGGGACTGGCAGGAAGTTAAGTGTGGAGAGTCGGCTAGCTTTTCGAAAATTATTTTACTTTCATTATTTTTTTCTCTTTCTCTTTTTTTCTTTTTGTTTTTGTGTTTTTTTTCAGGCAGGGTTTCTCTGTGTAGCCCTGGCTGTCATGTAACTGGCTCTGTAGACCAGGCTGGCTTTGAACTCACAGAGATCCTCCTGCCTCTGCCTCCCGAATGGGTCTAAAGGTGTCCGCCCCCACCGCCCAGCAAATTATTTTATTTTTCCAAATAAGCCTTATTTAACGAATCTCCACGTTTCTACTCTTGTCTGCAGACCCATTGTGCAGAAAACCTTCTCAAGGCCGACACGTACCGGAAGTGGCGTGCAGCCAAGGCAGGCGAGAAGACCATCTCTGTGGTCCTGCAGGTGATGCTGCCCTTTCCCACCTCCTCCTCCCAGGGCTGTGTGTCCCCGGGTCTCATTCCCCAGCCAGCTGGCTGTAGGTTGAGTCGTTTTCTCTTCCATGATAGAGAAAGTGCTTGCTCAACTAACTTGCCTGGAAAGTGGACAAGTTAAAATCCCATTAGTGTCTCCTTGGCAGAGGAAGAAGAGTCCAAGCCCAGAGATGACCAGGAGTCAGTGGGTGCTCCTGAGTAGGTTGATTCTCCCTCAGGGCCTCAATTTCCTCAGCTGGGACAGTGTTGGTCTATACTATGTTTCTTGTGCTGGCAGGACCATGAAGGGTGTCTAATAAATCAGTTTCATTACAAATGAGGGCAAAGTTGAAGGAGCTGATGACTCAAGCCTGGGATCCCAGTTGCTTGGGAAGTTGAGACAGGAGGATCACTAGTTTCAAGGTCAACCTGGACAACTTCGAATCTGCCTCAAAAATAAAAAGTAGTTAGCATCACAGGGACTACTAACGAAAGGATTAGGAATGCAGCTCAGCTGTACAGGGCTTGCCTGGAACACGTGAGACTCTTGATTCCATCCCTAGTACCATGAAATTAATAAGTGAATGAAGCAAGCCAGCTTTTTGGTTTGACTGTTCAGTTTTTGTTTTGTTTTGTTTTTGAAACAGGGTCTCTCTACAGAGTTCAGGCTGTCCTGGAACTCACTCAATAGACCAAGCTGGCCTCAAATTCAGAGATCTGCCTGCCTCTGCCTCCTGAGTGCTGGGATTAAGGTGTGAGCCACAACCACCTGGCTTTCTTTCTTTCATTTTCCTAAATTGGAGCTTATGTCTTGAACTCCTGATTCTTCTCTGTCCATCTGGGATGGAGGAATTTCAGGTAGATACCATCATGATTAGCATCTGTCTGTTCGCCATTCTTTCATTTAACTTACAGCACACATACACACACGTACATACATTCATACATATACACACAAAGTACTGAGGTTTGAATTGAAGGCCTAGTACAGGTCAAGCCTGGCTAACATGTTTCCGACTGTTTTTATTTTTAATAGTTTTTTTTCTTTTTTTTTTTTTTTTTTTTTTTTTTTTTGGTTCTTTGAGACAGCTTTTGGCTATCTTGGACCTTGCTCTGTAGACCAGACTGGACTCCAACTCACAGAGATCCAACTCTCTCTGCCTCTTGAGTGCTGGGATAAAAGGCATGCATCACCACTGACCAACTAAATTTATTCTTTCTGACTGGTCTTTTATTTTAAATTTATATCTCAGTTTCGTTTGTGTGCATGTATATGAGCACACAAGTCCCATGGCATCATGCATGTGGAGGTCAGAGGACAATTTGTGGGAGTTGTTTTTCTCCTCCTAATGTGTGGGTTCTGGTTCTCTGAATCGAACTCTGGCCACCAGTCTCTCCCCTAGCCTGAAACTCATGATGTCCCCAGCCCCCAAGCAGATCCCCACACCTGGTCTTTGAGTGTGTTTTATAATGTTCTCATTGGAACCAAACCGCAGCTCTGCAGGTTTACTTGGGGAGGGTGTGGAGCATGTGTGACTTTTTTAAAGATGGGCTCAGTGTGCAGCGCAGCTTGGCCTCCAGCTCCCAGCACTCCCCTCTCCACTGCTTCTCAAGTACTGGGATCAAGACTAGTAATGTTTGTTTGGCCTAAGAGTCTGCTTCTAAAACTGGGCGTGGTGGCTCATGTCTTTAATCTTAATACGCCGGAGACAGAGGCAGGCCAGTCTCTGAGTTCAAGGCCACCTGGTCTACAGAGTGAATTCCAGAACAGCACCAGGACTGCACAGAGAAACCCTGTCTCAAATGACCACAAAAAAAAAAAAAGTTTTTGAAAGGAAGAAGAAATGTGAGGAAGGCACTAGAGAGCTGACTCGGTGGCTGAGAGCACAAACTGCTCGCCTGAGGACCGAGTTCAGTTCTTAGCACCCACTGGTGACTCAGGACAGCCTGTAAATCCAGCTCCAGAGGACCTGATGCCGCTGGCCTCTGGGGACACACCTTCTTTCCATACACATATTAAAAATGGTAAAAATAATTTTTTTTGATTTTGATTTTCAAGACAGGCTTTCTCTGTGTAACAGCCCTGACTGTCCTGGAACTCATTCTGTAGACCTCACTGGCCTCTAACTCACAGAGATCTGTCTGCCTCGGCCTTCTGAATGCTGGGATTAAAGGTGTGCGCCCTGCCGCCTGACTGATAAAAATAATCTCTAAAAAATTGTTGGGAGAAGAGAATTAGATGCTCCTAAGCACCTGCCCATTGCCACTTGTGTGGTGGCCGTGTGTCTTACCCGAGTGTCATGGACGACAGCTAAGGCAGCCCACTCTTGAGTGTCAGTGCTTCTGACAGTTCTGTCGGTCTGTGTTGTTTCTGTGTGCACTGCTGAGCCAACCCCCCAGCCATCACCACAGCCCTTGTGCCCAGCTCACACACATTCCTTGGCCACATTCCTCCCTACTGAGTCGAGGGATACTAGGTGAAGGACTTTGGTGGGCACAGGCTTACCAGACTGTCACTAACACTGAATGTATTTGTGGCCTTTGCTTAGTAGTTCTGACTTACCACGAAGCCTTTTGAGGATTATAGAGAAGTTTAAACAAACAAACGTAGATCCGTGACATTTTCTGGCCAGTGTTAGATTTAAGCATCTCTTAAATCCCTAACCAGAGACTGGTAATGAGAACTAATGTCATGCACCATTATAACTTGCCAGTCAGCAGCCTACACACCTCACATGGCTCGATTCATTCCGTCCTCATAAAGCCCCATGACCTACAGACTGTCATTATCCCCATTTTACAGATAAAGAAACTGAGGCCTGGCTAAAATTATGCAACCGAGAGGCTGTCCTTTAAACTGTGTGAGAACCAGGTTGCTTACTATTTAGTTTGGGGATCTGGATTCAAATCCTAGCTCTCCCTCTTACTCACTCCAACCTCAGGCAAATGTCTTTCATCTCTCCAAATGTACCCATTGAGAATAAAGACACCCAAGGCTGGGGTGGCTGTAAAGCCTGGTGACATAATGTCTGCAGAGGTGTCTGTCAACATGTAGGAGTTGATATAAAGGGCGGTTTCATTATGGGATAGTGATTCCTCGGGCTGCTTACGATCAGGTGACATCCCCCTCACTCCCCTCTCCAGGAAATGATGTTCAGTTCTGTAAGAGTGCTTGGTGGGAACTGAAAGACTGGAGGCAGAAGACACAGGAAGGAGAGCTAGGGAGTCAGGTAAAGTGCAGGGCTGTTTGGAAAAGACTGAGACAGAATCCAGAGTGGAAGCAGCTTGGGAAGAGCATGTGTTTTCTTTGGGGTGTGACTGGGAGCTCTAAGAGGCTCCCTTGTTGGCTCAGTGGACCCCACTTGGTGGGGAGAGAACTGACTGACAAAGGTTGTCCTCTGACCTCCACATCACACGGCACGCGTGCTTTGAAGAAATGAGTGTCCAGCTGGAGAGGTGCTCCTTCAGAGGACCTGGGTGTGACTCCCAGCACCCACAACCTTTGTACAATTCCAAGGGATCAGATGCCCTTTCTGGCCTCTGAAGCACATGGTGCACAGACATACATGCAGGCAAAATACCCATGTACATAATAATTAAATGTAAAAGAAAATTTGGGCAGCAACTAGAAGTCCTATTGGGACCCGAGACAGAGGTGTAGACGTTGATGCTTGGAGTGGCTCATTCATCACTTCTCAGCTTTCGGCTGAGATCAAGTGTAGCATCATTTGTTCACTCATTCACTTATTCTACAAGTGTGTTAGGAACTTTCTGTAGTCGACACTGCAGTATTGGGTCTGTACGGCAGTGGGCAGCATGTGATGAAGGTGTTCACACCTGGAGCCTTGGCGTGTCGCTGGGCTGGAGAGCCTTCCTTGTGTACTGGCCTGGGTGTGAAGGGCTGGGGGAGAGCTTGCCTATTACACTCCAGGCCCTGAGTCTGGACCCTGTCACCCCATAAATTGGACACAGTGCTGCATGCCTGTCAACACAGTACTTGGGAGGGTCAGAAGTTCAAGGTCAGGCCAGGCGTTGGTGGCACAGGCCTTTAGGCACTCAGGAGGCAGAGGCAGGTGGATCTCTATGAGTTCAAGGCCAACCTGATCTACAAGAACTAGTTACGGGACAGGCTCCAAAGCTACAGAGAAATGCTGACGAAGAAGAAGAAGGCATTGGATCCCCTGGAAGCAGAGTTAGGGATGGTGGTTATAAGCTATGTGAGTGCTGGGAACCAAGCCCCAATCCTCTGCAAGAGCAGTAAATGCTGTTAACCACTAAGCCATCTCCAACCCCAGTGGTAACTTTTTTTTCCTGTGACAGGGTTTCTCTGTATCCCCTGGCTGTCCTAGAACTTGCTCTGTAGACCAGGCTAGCCTTGAACTACAGAGATATGCTTGCATCTGCCTCTTGAGTGCTGGGATTAAAGGTGTGCTTCACCACTGCCTGGCTAACCACTGGTGGCTCAACAAAGCAAAAAAATAATATTTTTTTTTGTAAAATCTCTCTACAGTGACTCTGTAAAGAGATAGAGTCACTCTACAGTGTCCTGATACTTGTCATGTAGACCAGGCTAGCCTCAAACTCATAGAATCCACCTCTGCCTCCAGAGTCCTGGGATTAAAGGTGTGAATCTTTCTTTTTAAAACTACATTTATTTAATATGTGTGTGTGTGTGCGCACACACGTGTACATTTGTAGAGGGCAGAGGACACCTTGCAGGAGCCACTTCTTTCCTTGCGCTGTGTGGGTTGTCAGACCAGCATCTTTGCTCACTGAGCCCTTTCTGCAGCCTGGAGTCTGGGAACTTTGAGCAGAGGAGGCTGTGCATCCACATGTCAGCAGGCTGCGTCCATCTGGCACATGAAAGATAGGCCAAGGAGGCCAGTGAGCAGAATAGGACCAGAGCTGATGGGGGAGGGTAGGAGCCTCACTACAGTCAAGGCCAGAAAAGGGCTGTTTGAGATGGGAGCCACCAGGGCCTCTGTAGAAGAA